TGGCATGATCTTGGCTCACTGCAACTTCTGCCTCCTGAGTTCAATCAACTCCCCTGTCTCAGCCTCCCAAGTAGCTGGGATTATAGGCGCATGTCACCACACCTGGTGAATTTTTGTTTTTTCAGTAGAGACGGGATTTCACCACGTTAGTCAGGCTGGTCTTGAACTCCTGACCTCAGATGATCCGCCCACCTTGGCTTCCCAAAGTGCTGGGATTACAGGCATGAGCCACTGTGTCCAGTCTGGTTTATCTTTTAATTCAAAAATACAGAAATGTGACCCTTGACCTCCAAACCAATGTTCTGCTGACAATCTTAATAACAGCTCCCATTCTAAAATCCTAGATTGGCAAGAAGGCTTATTTTGATTTGGAATTACTGAGAAATCTGTTCGGTTCTGAGCCATTGCAACTGACGTTACATCCATGCCCATTGGCGGCATGGTCTTGTTACGGCCTGCAATTGCTTATAGTGTTATTTACGGTCTTGATTTCACAGCAAAATTAAAGTGACTCTTCCAGATGTTTGGGTTTTTAGACGCCATGTAAATGGGCTTCTAAGTTGGAAAGTTTTGATTATGTTTAGTTCTCTCCTCCTTAACCACCTTCGTGGTCCGTCTTCTACTGGGGAATGCAGTAAAGCCCTCCCAGAGCATGAAATGGACTCAAGGCATTTGCAATGGAAGAAGAAAGGAAAAAAAAAAAAAAAATCACAGTAATTCCCTTGAAGATCCAAGGCTGAGTGAGAACTACATCAAAACAGGACAAGGTAGGCATTCCAAACCGCAATTGCTCAGAAATGGAATAGCACTTGTATTTTTGCTGTTTCAGCAAAATCAATATTAAATCATCTCATGAACTTGCTCGTGAAACTTTAAAAAAATTACATACAGGTAAATATTGTTTTCTTATCACCTTTCTTCTCTTTCAAAGCAAATAAACACAAATAGGAGTGGGAAATAACTGTTTCAGGTCTGTGGTTATGCATTCCGCAAGACCAGTAAGAGGCATTTACCAGGTGCCAGACGCTCTGTGAGAAGATGAGGGTTCAGGATGAAAGTCAACTATAGTCTGAGAGGGGAAGCGGTAGAGTGTGGAATTGTAAAGTTCCCGAAGACAGTGCAAAAGACAGTGCAGGGAACTCCCCCTGAAGAAAGAAAAATAATGGCAGGTTAACTTGACAAATATTCGGATCTGCTTAGTGACCAGGGGCCCTTCAGAGTCTCTCAAAACTTCAGTTTCCTCATCTCTTGAATGTGGAGACAACGGTACCTTGAATGAAGCCGTGTGTATGAACTTAGGGGAGCATTAGGTATTGGCAGTAAGACAAGTCTGAGAAGGATGGTCATGTAACTTCAACATTCTAAGTGTGAGCAAAATACGATTTAGTCAACGTGGAAATGAATAATTTGGCTCTAACCAAAAACTTCTGGGAAAGGGGTCACAGGCAATATCGTTCCTCTCTCTGCCTTTAAAGAAATCATCTAGGCATGGGCTTACTGGTCAGTCCATCAAAATTCATATAATGACAACCATGATAAAGTTGAATAATTGTGATCACACCCGTTTGCTCTTTGAAAACAGAATCATGTGTAATAAAAACCATTTATACTAGAGATCACTCCCTCATCTCAGTCATTCACAGAAATAAAAAGGAAAATGGGCACTGTGTGGCATTCAATGCACCTACTTCTTCAAGGAAGAAATTGACCTGGATCCAAATTAGGGCACATTGGACACACTTAAGAATGCCATTGTTGACTGGAGGTGAGAGGGTCTGAGCAATAACCAGGAGGTTGTGCAAAGCCATCAGAAAGTCACAACGAGAGACACAGAGGGCCTCACGGTGCCATTTCTAAAGAACGACTTTGGTGAAAAGAATAGAGATCATTACCAAGCAAAGTGTATTCTCTGAGTCTTAAACATAAAGTAGCAGAGGTGAGCACACCAGCAATGTTGGGCCCACCAAGAAAGCACGCTCACCATAGGTGGGGAAGAAAAATGCATGGTCCTGAGAAGCCAGGTGTGGCAAACTGAAAGCCCCAGAGAGGCTGACACATAGCCCTGCTTCTAGATGAGAAGAAATGTATGCAGTAGAAGGAGGCAGAGAGGCAAGTTTTCTTCCTTGGTCTACACAGTCCCACACAGCCTATTCCCACAAAGCCCACATATACACCCAGAGCCAAGTGGTGTGCTCTGAGGATCTGCAGCAGGTGAAAATACTGCAAAGCCGAATCCACACACACCTTAATTCCACAACGCTATATGCATTGATAATTATGGCACCAACTGATAACATTCTCTTATATGGACCCATGGCATGGGCACCACCAAAATAATGTTAGCTGCAGAACTCACATATAGTAGGCGCATTAAAAGCCTTATCTTTAATCCTCATGACATGCTTGAAAGATATCATGTATTCTCATTTTACAGATAAGGGGACTGAAGATTATGAAATTAAGTAACTTACCTAAAGTCACACACCCAGCAAGACCCCAAGCTGTGAGTCCCACCCGCTGCATGGACTGACGCTGCCTGTGATTTATTAAAGTAGGTAGGATGCAAGTTGTAGGGAGAGAAGGCCATTCTTTGAATGAGGGCCTCTGGAAACAAAAGAGATTTCCACAAACCAGATGGCAATTTGAAAAGAGATCAGCAGCACTGAAAAATCCTGCACATCTAACATTTCCCAGTGACCAGTCAGATCTCAAGCCTGCCTCAGTTACTTTGTAACTCAACTACTTGATTTTCTAGACTGGGGGTGGGGTGAGAAGAAGTGTGCCAAGACGTGTTACGGCTTTAATCTTTTCTCTGGGATACTGATTTTATTTGCAAATGTAAGTTTCAGGCAAAGTGTTCTTGGGGAATGCAGCCAAAGGGCAAAGCCCGCGTGGGGCATCAGCTCCTGCAGAGACCCCACATGCAGTGGGTCTCACCGCAATCCAAGACATCCTTGGGGCAACCTCAAGGAGGCAAAGGGTGAGAGGGCTCAAGTAAACAGAAGAGAAAGGGGAGAGAAGACAAGAAAACCTGCTGAGTCTTAAGCTGTTCTAATTACTAACGACCTTGATTCTGCTCTTCCCGGGGGACCAACAGGCCCGACCCCACCCCCACACACCCAGGGCAGCAGGCCGATGCCAGTCTCTACTTTTTACGCTTTCAGAAAATCTGAAAATCCGTGTCAACTGCAGGTACCTGCTGCTACCATCCTGGAAGAAAATGCTATGATCTCCTTTGGAGAATTGGCCTCAGTTTCTCTGTCTCCTCTAGTGTGCTTTAAGAGTGTGTGGGGGCCTGTGAGCGTAGACATGTTTATATTTATGTATAGATGCATGTACGGATGTGCATATACATGAATACCTCCAGTGAGTGTCCTCTGAGGGCCCCTCTGTGGAGATAAAGGATCTTCAGGGAAAGCCTGAGTGTGTGAAAACCTCCTTGGAGCCCCAGTTAGCAGTTTCTAATCTACAAGTCATTTGTGAGACACAAGGCAGGGACCCCGGGCTGCTGCAGAAGAATTTTAGGTATGAGCAATGAACTCACAAACCATCCTTCACACTGCTAAAACGCAAAAGAAAGAAGACGAAGAAAAAGTAAAAGAGAGAGAAAAGATGCCCACATGACTGTTTTAAATTTGCTGAAAGGCAGAACCGACCACAGGTTATTTCAACCATCTTTATTTTCAATACAATAAACACCTTCAGGACAAGTCCCCCGCCACTTAAAAGACAGCTCTCCACCAGAGGCATTCTCGCTACCTTCGTGTTTTCTCAAGCACTTGTTCAAAAACACATTTAAGTGGAATGTTTTCGTTTCTGGCGATTGCATTAATGATGGGTTTGCAAACCCTGCAAGCCCACGAGGTCGGCTGGAGCTGGGGGCTGCAGACACCCGGCCCTGGCCCAGCGGCCGCCGCGGGTTGGCTTGGCCGGCGGGGGCTTGGCTCGGCCCCCTCTACATAGCTCCTCGTTTGGCACCGCGTGCCTCGGCCGGGCCAAGGCTGTCGCATAGAAGTTGCAGCTCAGAAAGAAAAACACACAGCGGTCAACCGCGGTGACCCTCGCGCTCAGGAGCGCAGCATCCCTGCCACGAGGAAGAACCCAGAGGCCCCGCAGAGCGGGGAGCCGCCGCCTCCCTCCAGCTCTGTCCTGAGAAAGGAAGAAAGCGCTTCTCTAATAACACTCAGGCCCGTGAAGAATCATCTGTAACATCATCTGCTTCTTCCTCGGCTCACTTAGGAGGGCCTCTGGGAGGGTTAGACTGGCAGCCCCCTCCCTCCAGCTCTGTCCTGAGAAAGGAAGAAAGCGCTTCTCTAATAACACTCAGGCCCGTGAAGAATCATCTGTAACATCATCTGCTTCTTCCTCGGCTCACTTAGGAGGGCCTCTGGGAGGGTTAGACCCACTAGTGGGGCCCACGACTGGCAGCCCCTTCACCAGGCGAGAGGCCCGGGATCCGCGCGGCGCACGAGCCCAAAGCGGCCGAGGAAACGCGCACCAGGCCGGGTCCCCGTGGGCGAGGTGGGCGCCCAGTCCCGGCGGGTCTGCCTTGGCCTTGGGACAGTCCGCGGGGCGGCGCCGGCGCTCCCAGACCTGGTTCCCCGCAGGCTCAGGCCCAGCAGTGAGTGCGGGACACCCGAGCGCACCCGCAGCTCCCACTTGTCCAAGGTCTGCAGGACCCCAGGATCCTCTCACAGCCGGGTCAGAGCCCCCGAGGCAGGTGGGGTCCCAGCCAGGTGGAACCCGAGGAGCCCGTCGCAGTCGCGGCAGGATCCCGGCGGGTAGGGTCCCCAGAAGCCCATCCCGACCGGGTCCCAGGCGCACACGCTGCGGTCCTACCTGCTCCAGCCCCGCAGGCGGGCGAAGGCTCCACTGCCCCCGGGGCCACCTGCTCCCCGTGCCTGGGCGCCTGGGCCTGGAGGGGGACGCGGGCACCCGAACCCGGCGGGCGGCAAGAGGCGGCACCAATTAAGCGCCAGGTCCCGCGGGCCCGGGCTTACCGTGAGCGCCGAGAACTTCTGCGCGGGCACCGGCTGGAGCAGCACCGCGAGCAGCAGCAGCCAGCAGAGCTGGGGGAGCAGCATGGTGGCGGAGGTGGCGGGGGCGGGAGATCAGCCGCGCCCTGCGCCCTGGCACTGCTACCAGGAGAGCCCCGAGGGCGATCGCGGCCCGGCAGGCGCGTGGAGGGGCGGCTCCGCGATGCTCTCCCCACAGCTCCCGGCGGCCCTGCTGGAGCAGCTCCCCTGCAGGCACCCAGAGGTCCTCCGCGTCCTTTGCGTCCGCCCTCGGTCCTGTCAAATACCCTGGAGCTTCCCGGATCCTCCCCTCCCGCCCGCCTCCCTCCCTCTCCCTCTCCTCCCCCAGCCCCACCTCCCAGCGCCCGCTGCCGCGTGCCCGCTCCGGCCCAGAGGCCGCCCTGGCGCGGGTCTGCGGAGCGAGAGGTGGAGTGGGGGCCACCAGAGCTGCGTGGTGGCCTGTCGGGGCTGTCTCTGTGCCTCCTTCCCCGCGCGCACACTCACACACACGCATACCCAGACACACGCACGCACTAACGCCCACGCGCGCACCCTCGGGGGCCTTCCAAGCACAACCACGGGACGCACCGCGCCCTTCTCACGCTCCAGGGTCCAGGCCTGGTCCGCGCAGGATCAGCCCAGCGGGCCTTTTCATCCACAAGGGTTAACGCCAAACTTTGGCCAGTCCCCAGACTCCGGGGTTCTCCTTGACCTCTGCCCTCTAAGGCCCCCTGGTCTGGCCCAGAACATCGCCTCTCAGAGGTGCTGAAGGATCAGCTGCGCTCCAGAAAAGGCTGCGCCGGGGGCAGCCCGCCTTTGGCATCTTTACACGGAGTTATCCACGGCAGGGATGGTGGAATTTAGGTCCTAAAGATCCTGGGTCTGACCTGGGGTGTAGCCTTGATCCTCTGCAAGTGGGGGAGCAAGTGGTTGGCCATCATTCACAGACACATATGGCTGTTTTTAAACAGCTCTGTCAAAGCATTTCAGGTGTTTATGCGGGGAGCACAGGGCTTGTGGAGGTTGTAAACTCGCCCGTGGAGACTACGGTGGAAACCAAGAAAATTTTGCACACCCAGACTCTGGATAATATCCATTGCAGACAACATTGCTGAAATAGTTTAGCCTTGGCTTATAACTTTACAGGAAAAAACCCTAATTCTGTCTCACACAGAAAGCCAGAAGAGTGAAGATTTGTTCAAGAACAATGAATCAATTGACTTCTCAGGGGCATTGGGAAAAGCATAAAACCTAGAAAATCCAAATCTGAGGTTTCATCCGATGTCTAGCCCACTGCTTTGGCTATGAACTCTGGGGGAGAGGGCTGTATCAGCAAGTTCTGGGACTGGCTGCTAAGGCAAAGGCAATGCTATTGCAACCTTTCCCACACAATTTTACTGGGAAAGTGATGTCCATCGGGCCACGGAAAGACGGGAAAGAAATGCACCTTTTCCTGAAGGAGGGCTACTCTCAGAATTCTCCTTCAAATTCCAAAGCCCAGGGAATCTATTAAGTACTTAAACACATTCCTCCTGGGTTAAGGACTTAGAAGGAAATTATAATAAAACTCTTCGGGGACTGCCCTTGCGTCGAGAAAAACAGGTGAGCAGAGCAGCTGCAAATGATTAAGTAAACAGGAATCACTGTTAGGAAACTGCAGTGAAAATTAAAGTAAAGAGAAAATAAACACTACATACCACTAATTCTAAGATTATCCAAAGAATAAAATTTACACTCGAAGCTGACCTACTTCCTTTAAGAAGCATTTGCTACTAAAGAACCTGTTTTTCACTTTCCACTTTATTGAGAGTACTGCTCATCAGAACTCAAAAGTTTGAAAGCATGTTCATTTATCCACCGTCATCCACTGCAAGAATGGCAGACAAGAAGTAGACTTAATTATTCCCATTTTACAGACGAGGAACAAAAGTCAAAGGGGCCAGATGTCTTAGCCAGATCTCCTAAGCAACAAAATCAGAAACAGAATGCAGATGTTAAAACCTGCAATACTGGCAAATCCACTTCACTTCCTTCGGCAACATGGAGAACGGAAGAAAATCCTTGGCCCTCCGTGCCTTGTATTCAAGAATCTCAACACGTCTTTCATGTAGCAACTCCAGAATCCTCTGGGAACTCTAGGAAGATAAATGAAATGCATTTGTCCAAAACTCTGACAGATAAGGCAGGGTTGGAGCCTTCGAAACCCCTTTCAAATCTGGAGGAGCTCATGTGTCCTGAATGCCAAATTTTAGTTTCTCGCAATTCTAGAAAGGGAGTTTGGAGAGATAATCAGTCTCCATTTTTATGAAGAAAAACAATATATTTATTTTAAACACTGGGAAATAGTTATGTCTGTCTTTTATTTGTAAGTCTTCAAGAAAGTTATTACTGGCAGGAATGCCAGAGAGCTGTCATGTTAGAAAGGATAGAAAAGTAATTCACTTCGTTCAAAGTTAAGACACGAAGTGATCAGCTCTATACTTTCCAAAGAGTTTCTATAGGATGCAGGAAGAAGTTCCCTTCTCTTGGAAATGTAGGGCTGTGTGTGTGTGTGTGTGTGTTTTAATTAAAAAGTGATGCAGGGCCCATTCTAAAATGTGGCTTATGCATTCAGAATTTAAATGCTTGTCACTGATGAAAGTTACAATAAAGAACAGCAAGAGAAACTAATTACCAAGTACTCCAGCTATTCTCACATTTCTAAACTAACTTTCCCTCTTAGACCATTAGCAAAATGCTTTATCATGAGTATTGGCTTCCTTTTTATTTATTTTACTATGCTAAAACTGCAAAACGATTTTATTTTCATGATAGACATGATATAGTTTAGTTATTATTTCTGGCTAATTCATGTTTAGCCAGAAAACTTCGGGTTGGCTATTTTCCCATCTCAATATGCAAAGCATAAATTTAGTCAAGTATCTCTTTGTTGATGCAGTGGCTTCCAGTAATCCCCTCTGCCATCACTGAGTATTGTCTGGGACTGAACTTGGGTCATGACTATTCATACTCTGAGAATCACCCCACATCATCAGTCACCTGCCAATCACTTGTTTTATTAATGTTTCCTCCTGGTTTCTACTTAATCATGGGAGCAGGAGTCTTCACTGTTCACTGGACTTTCTTTAGACTACCCCCAGGCTGGACCCGAGAATCTCTAGTTCCCCAGGTTTCCGGAGTCTCTGTCCTCTTGTTGGCTTGTTCATTCTGATGGCTAGCATCTTCCTTTTAATTTGTTCCCTTCGACCCACGGAAAAATAATGCATGATCTCCACATCAATCCCAGGTTTTCAACCCAAGCTCCACAAACCTGTGAGCCATACAGAAAGGAAACCACATCGGCAGAATTGACAAAATCAGAAGAGAGCACCGCCGAGGCTCACTGTCACTGCGGCTGCAGGATGACGCCAGCATTGACACAGCACATTGAAAAGTGGACAGTGGAGTTGTGTGTTTGATCCTTGGGCCTGACTCAATGGCTTTCTTCCTATTTTGACATATTTAAATAACAGAGAATTTGGACTTTGTGCTCAACAAAATAATGTAAATAAGTTTCTTCTTCCTAAGATGCCTGAAGACAATTTTTATGATAATACTTTTCAGGAACTTTGTGGAACAGTTTTTAAAAATAATTTCAGCTTTCATTTTAGACTCAGGGTATACGTGCAGGTCTGTGACATGGATATATTATGTGACGCTGAGCTTTGGGGTATGAAAGACCCAGGGAGTGAGCATAGTACCCAATAGGCAGCTTTTTCAACCCTTGTTCCCTGCCCCGCCTCTCTAGCAAGCCCTAATGTCTATTGTTCCATCTTTATCTCTATGTGTACCCAGTATCTCGTTCCTTATCTCAATGTGTACCCAGTGTCTAGCTCCCACTTATGAGTGAGAACATCCAGTATTTGCATGTCTGTTCCTGCACTAATTCGCTTAGGATTATGGCCTCCAGTTGCATCTGTGTTGCTGCAAAGGACATGCTTCCATTCTTTTATGGCTGCATAGTATTCCGTGGTGTCTATGTACTACATTTTCCTTGTCCAGTCCACTATTGATGGGCACCTAGGTTGATTCCGTGTCTTTGCAATTGTGACTAGTGATGCATTTAACACACAAGAGCATGTGTCTTTTTTGTTGGATGGTTTATTTTCCTTTGGATACATACCCAGTAATGGGACTGCTGGGTCGAATGGGAGTTCTATTTTTAGTTCTTTGAAAATCCCCAAACTTCTTCCCACCGTGGCTGAAATAATTTACATTCCCACCTACAGTGTATAAACATTCCATTTTCTCTGCTGCCTCAGCAGGATCTGTTGCTATTTGACTTTTTAATAGTAGCCATTCTGAGTGGTGGGAGATGGTATCTCATTGTGGTTTTGATTTGCATTTCTCTGATGATCAGTGATGCTGAGCATTTTTTAATATGTTTGTGGGCTTCTCGCATGTCTTCTTTTGAGAAGTGTCTGTTCATGTCCTTTGCCCACTTTTTAGTGAGGTTGTTCTTTAGCTTATTGAGTTGTTTCAGTGCCTTCAGATTCTGGACATCAGACCTTTGTCCGATGCATAGTTTGCAAATATTTTCTCCCATTCTGTGGGTTGTCTGTCCACTCTGTTGCTAGTTTCTTTTGTGTGCAGAAGCTCTTTAGTTTAATTAGGTCCCACCTGTCAATTTTTGTTTTTGTTGCAATTGCTTTTGAGGACTTACAAAAGTAAGTAATACATTCTATGCCAAGACTGATATCCAGGATGGTGTTTTCTATGTTTTCTCCTAGGATTTTTATAGTTTGAGGTCTTTCATTTAAATATTTAATCCATCTAGAGTTAATTTTTGTACATGGTGAAAGGTAGGGGTCCAGTTTTAATCTTCTACACATGGCTAGCCAGCTATTCCATCACGACTTATTAAATAGGGAATCCTTTCTCCATTGCTTATTTTTCTTGACTTTGTTGAGGATCAGATGGTTAAAGGTATGTGGCTGTATTTTTGGGTCCTCTATTTTGTACCTTGGTCTGTGTGTCTATTTTTGTGACAGTACCATACTGTTTGGGTTACTGTAGCCTTATAGTATACTTAGAAGTCAGGTAATATGATGTCTCCACTTTATGGAAATTTTTAATAAATGGTTGGAATGTGATGGGTGTTTTACATACATTATCTAATTAACTTTCATGGAAACTCTACAAAATGGTTATTTTACAGATGAAAAATAAGATCCTGGGAGACTACAGAAATTACCTGGATTTACACAGCTAGGAAGTGGTAGGAGCAGAATTCAACTCAATTTTCAGTTT